ATCTGTCAGAAAAAAAATATGCTAAAATTTCACCTTTAGGTGTACAACAGCCTGGCAGACTTTTACAAAAATTACCCATGGTTTTATTACAGTAACCACAGTATTTGTAGTAAAACTGCAGTAACCACAAATTTACCATGATAATAATAATAATACTACTACATTTTAGTACTTATGTAACACCATGTTTATTTTTCATGAGGTACTCTCAAAAGTGCACCTTTGTAACTTATCTACCCTTAAACTATGCATACTTGTATGGTACTAATATGCTCACTTTTAGGGATATAGTTGCACCTTTGAGGTTACTGCCCCATTAAAGGGCTAAAATATACAATTATAGTATATTTTATTTCTAAAAGTGTAAACAAAAAAGGCATATGTTAAAAAACATGGCTAATATTAAGCTAATATTAAGTGAGTATAATTACTGATTATTTATTCTTTCAATAATTTAAAAGATCAGTTTAGTTTAGAAGTATCGGTATCGATATCAAAAATACTGGGCTTGAAAATATCGGTATCGGATCAAAAACAAAATAAGAGGTATCGCCCATCCCTAGTTTCCACTGTCGGGCCAGTAGCCTCGCCGCACTCCTGTAAAACCCGCCCTAAACACGCCTTCACTGGATACGTCACACAATACAAAGTTCCACCAGCGAGAGGGAGATGAATGAAATAAATCTAAACAAATATATCAGAAGCTGTCGTTTAGTCTTTATTTACAAACTTGGACACCACACGCGGCTATTGACTGACCACGAACAGGAAATATAACTTATATGCGGCATTTTTGATTAGTTAATGTCTCGCGGTCTTGCTGTTTTTTCTTTTCTTTTAACAATTCAATTTTGGGCTAAAAGTGTGTTGTAACGCAAGCGTTACTTAACATGTACCGAGTAAAATATTACGGACAATTGATTAGTAATGCCTTAACACTACTGCGTTACAGCGAAAAGTAATCCGTTACTGTAATGCATTACATTTGTAACGCGTTACTCCCAACACTGCTAATGGGAAATAAATAAAAACACACTTTTAACGCTTTTCAGATTGAGCTCTACAATTTACTGTTTTGGGAGGAAAGGTACAGATTGGTTTGCCCTTTCCACCTTTTCCAGTTGGAACTCATATTTGACTCGAGTGTGTATTAGTGTTGAACATGGATATGCACTATTAGATACATTCCGAAACAGCCTGGCAAAAATCCTCTCATTAGCAAACCAATCAATATTCCCTCTCTCTCAGCATCTCAGGAAATCCTGTCTCTCCCTCATGCTTCAACAGATTAACCCACAATCTCTCCCATCAGGCCTGATCTCTGATCAGTGCTGCTTTCTCATGTCTGATAGTGAAAGGTCAGAGTAATAGGTTCCAGAGCAGTGAAAAAAAAGCTAATGAGAAAGACAGAAGTGTGAAGAGATGAGTTGACCGTGTTCATTTCACTCAGGGTCTGTGTGGATATTTATCAAAGCTTCAGACAGATTTCCTCCCAAAGGATGCAGAACCATCATATACCATTAGGATCAGAGGCCGAATATTTAAATATAGAGAAACTGTGTAGTCTTTGTATCCAACATGTAAAACGAAAGAGAATATGTAACAAAAAAAGTTGTTGTTGTTACAGAGTTCCCTTCCTCCATTTACTAGCCTTGAAGGCTAGCAAATCCCCCCCATCATCACATCCAGTAAATACAGATGACCTTAAGAACTTCAACTCCCAGCAGCCTTTGCCCTGCAGAGATGAGAGTGAGGTCACTTCTAGGGTCTCATCCAGTGGGATCTTACAATTACTACAGCTCATGTTTCTATGCCAACCAAAACACAACAGCCTTGAGCACATGAACCTAAAAACAGATGCTCAACTCTTTCATTGCCTTATTTCCCAGAAAGCTTTAGCCACTGGCAGTGAAGATAGCCTGTTTTAGGTCATAGTGTCGAAGGACTCAAGACAGATTATAACGGCAGACAAAAATAATACAAATATACAGTGATCACACTTAAAAATAAAGACAAAAGGCGTAATGCATAATGATTGCTCCCATAAATACTGTTTTATTAGTGTTTTACTGTTGCTATTACGGACCAAACCAACTGACTCCAAATGACACTGGCTCTTATGGTCTACAGAGCAAGATCTGATTAAACTTTAAGACCAAGATAAAACTGTAAATCTGTCCATTTTTTAAATCCTGATGATTGCATACTAAAGATTTTTATTATACATGCAAGAATTCACCAAGACATCAACAAGTATTTATCAATTGTTGATGCAATACAGAAGTTTGGTCAATATTTTAATCAGAACGGCTCGAGGTTGCCATCCAACCTGAGCTAAATAATCCCAGATAAAGTCAGTATTTTTATATATATATTTTCTAACATTTTAAGATGGTTAGCCTGTAACCTGTACTTTTAATTATTAGGATTGGCAATTTTATCAGATTGGGAATGGTTTGGTTTTGCATCAGTAATGTCTGTTGTGTGTTTCGTGGCATGATTGATGGAACAAACCCTTCAAATACTTTTCTATCAGAAGGGGGAAAAAAATTGACTCGTACCTTTTGGTCTGGGAGAGAACAAACTATAAATAAAGTAAAATGTTCTCAAAGAGAACTAACCATACTGAGAATTCAGATATAAGTAATACAATTAAAACACTGTTTTCTTCCTCATTAACAGACCAATACTAAGCTATCAATCTATTATTTCTCTGACATCAGTCCATTTCAAAACAATCCAACACTGCAAACATGTTTCTTTGAAAAACAAACAAAAAAATTATATATATATATTGCATTTGGTAAATGTTCAAAATATTTAACAGTGATAATAAGGTCACGCCAATTACATTTTAACAGCATTTATCTGGAATAAATTTAATTTTTCAAGTATTCTCATTTGGATTGACTTCCAAGTCTCCATAATAAATCAGACAAACAGCCACCATCAAATCAAAAATAATTATATTCTAATCAGGGTACCAACCCATTAAACATTATAGTGGTAAAAAAAAAGAAAAAGAAAAACGTAGATAATTTAATAATAATAATAATAAAAAAAGGCACTAGAAAACCAGCCAAGCAGTGGAACAAAATTTAACACTGTTACTAATCAGATGTTACTAACTGAATACTAAACACAAAGCTACATCTGATTTAAAGAATAACACTTATGGCTCTGAAAATCATCATAATACTATTCCTGGCCTGTATACTGCAATATTTAAAGGCACGTGTACATGCACACATTTGTCCACACAGAGGCCTGAGCCTTGTGTGGGCTAATCGCTTTAGATGTGCAAGATCATATGTCATAATTAGCCTAAAACACACAGTAATGCAGTTAGCTAGCAGGCTTACACACTCCAGAGAGAGAATCATCACTCTCAATCACCGCACACACATCCATTTTCTCTCATACTCCTGTTTGTGTGCGTTTAAATGGTGTTTAAGTTACTTAGTGCATATGAGCTCAGATCACGCACCTATTGAAAAGCAATAATATGGGATTTTTGTTCTTGTTTAGTTGTTGATCTCCATCCTCTGTAGTGTGTAAAATTCACTATATTTCTTCTCATCTTGCAAACATAAGCATGAACACTAGATTAAATGGAGGTTGCATGTGTGTTTTGGGGTCAGAATAAGCAGCAGGGTAAGTGTTCGTGTGTCCTCTCCACTGGTGCTCCCACAGGCACTCTGGATTCAGAAACCTTCATCATCTACTTCATAGCCGTAATCTGTACACAGTAAAGGAGAGGAATGCAGAAAGGTTAGGACAAAACTTAATGCTCTGTTCTAAACTACATAAACTCAAAACACAACCTACATAAACACAAAGAGCATAAAATGAAGATGTTTCTGTCAAAAGGAACCAAAGTTTTCAACCAGGAGTCTGTGAGAATTATATATAAATAGGTTCTTAAATATTCATAATGTAACATTTTTGAATTAACATTTGCTAATGATCTGTTAAGCACATAAAATAGTAAAGATAATGTTCTTAATGAAAAACAACATTAATACAAAGTGTAATGGAGAAAATGTAATTTTTTTTTAATATTGAGAGACTATATTGGGTCAGAAAAGGTCGAAAGCCCCTAAAGCAATGTTGTTGTTATTAATTAAAACAATTTTTGTTAATTAGAATAAAGCTGAAATAAAATGTGACCATGGACCACAAAACCAGTCATAAGGGTCAATTTTTTTATTTATTGAGATTTATATATCTTCTGAAAGCTGGATAAATAAGCTTTCCATTGATTTATGGTTTGTTAGGATAGGACAATATTTGGCCGAGATACAACTATTTGAAAATCTGGAATCTGAGGGTGCAAAAAAAAAAAAACACAAAATACTGAGAAAATCGCCTTTTAATATATTTACAGAAGGAAATTTACAAAATATCTTCATGGAACATGATCTTTACATCATACTAATGATTTTTGGCATAAAAGAAAAATCTATAATTTTGACCAATACAATGTATTTTTGGCTATTGCTACAAATATACCCCAGCGACTTAAGACTGGTTTTGTGGTCCAGGGTCACAAATATAAATATTAGATAACTTTTAACTTTAAAAAAAACTTGAAATGAAATGAAAATTAGAAATGTTGTGTTGGCAACTAACTGATATAAAATAAGCTTAAATACTAAAATTATTAAAATTGAAATTAGAATAAAGCTAAACAGAAACATTTTAAGTAAATGAACAAAAATGACAACAGCACATAAAATTACTAACATTAAAATGAAAGCTTGACGATATAAAAATAATTAATTTAAAAATTTAAATTGCCAATTGAAATTATTAAAATACTATACTAGTGTATAAATAGTAATGAAATACCACTGGTCTAAAAGGAATAAGTCTTTTTGAAAATTCAAGAATTGATCCAAAGGTGAAGGACAGTCTTTATTTTATCACATACCAGAGCTGCCCATTAACTGCATGGCACTGACACAGTGTTCGTCCTCCTCATCCTCCTCTTCTTCATTTACAGGGTCTTCGTACGCCACAGGTCCACTCTCCATGACAACAGCATTCTGGGTTGGAGCAGCAGGGGTGGCCACTGGGGCACCAAACCCTTTCTGAAGGTTGAGAAGGAATAAGAAAGTCAACATGAAATGACATTCCCAGGTCATTGTGTGTCCATCATCCAAAGCGTTTCCACTTTTTTAACGTTAGTTAGTGTGTAATGTTGCTGTTTGAGCATAAACAATATCTGCAAAGTTACGGCACTGAAAGTTCAATGCAAACGGAGATATATATGTCTTTTAAAATTCTGGCAGTTTAAGGCCTACAAAAATGGTTCGTAGGGACTACAACGAGCTACTTCCCAGGCTCATTACATCACAAACCCAGAAATTTACATAAACCCCACCCCCGGGAACATGCAACAAAGGCGACGGGGCCATGTTGTGCGGCTTTAGAGAAGAGGAAGAGTTGTAGCCATGCCGTCAAAACTGTTATTTTCACCCCGCTAACAGGTCTTCTGTGTTCGGCCTTCCTACGGATGCTGTACTTCATGAACAATGGTTAAAATGTATTTTTAATTCTATTGCTGACAATTAAAATCCTACATTCCACTGGAGCACATGCAACTATTGCCCGTAATTGTAATGGGCGTGAAGTTTCCGGACAACGTACAGTAAGCGGTTAACGAATCACAACACACTGGGCCAGCTAACCAATCTGAGCCCATTGCATATTTCTGAGGGAGTGGCATCATAGAAACAGGAAGTCAACCGGCCGTTCAAATGACAATGGAGACAGCGGCTTACCCCGCCCCCGGGAACACGCAACTACCCGTAATGGTAAGGGGGTGTGACGTTTCCAGACAACGTGCACTAGGCGGTTAGCGAATCACAAACACTGAGCCCGTTAACCAATCAGAGCCCATTGCTTATTTCTGAGGGAGGGGCTTCATAGAACCAGGAACTTAACAGTCCTTTTTTGACGAGAATGGAAACAGCGGTGTAGAATAAAGGCAAAATATATTAAAATAATGTGTTTTTTTTTTTTTTTTAAATGAAGCATGAAGACATGTTACACTGCACCCCACAAACACAATCAAGCCAAGAAAAAAAGCAGTCAACCACCCCTTTAAAACAATTACGAATATGTTTCCTCTTTAGAAAACAATCATAAATTAATTGCTCACAATAAGATAAAAGACATGTCAAGTCACCTTTATTTATATAGCGCTTTTAACAATACAGATTGTGTCAAAGCAACTGAACAGCATTAATTAGGAAAATAGTGTCAATAATGCAAAATGACAATAGTAAACAAATTTTTCAGTTAAAGACCGTTCATCATTGAATTCAGTGATGTCAACATCCAGCTCAGTTTAAATAATATCTTTGCAATCATGTCAACGATATCGCTGGAAATGAAGTGTCCCCAACTAAGCAAGCCAGAGGCGACAGCGGCAAGGAACCAAAACTCCATCGGTGACAGAATGGAGAAAAAACCTTGGGAGAAACCAGGCTCAGTCGGGGGGCCACATGTATTACTAAAGTCAAGAGTCCATTTGGATTTGGTGACTTCAACTCAGAAAACACCCTTTACTAACTCCGACTGTGTGCTCCTATTATCATGCTGCTACAAATGAGGATAACACTTATCATCACAAGTTAGCTTCAGAGTTAGCAACAGATAGGCTTGTTAGTGAATTTATAAACTGTTTATTTTCCTGAGGGACAAAGGGAATACCATCAATCGCAAAGCTTAATTTCCCATTGCCAAGTGATGGCCAGAGGTTGCCTAGTTACCTGAGTATTGACCCCTAGAGGTAGTATTTTTGCTCTGGGTTCAAAAGAGCATTGATTATATACTCTCACACACACACACACAGAAGTTTAAAAGCAGTAGAAGGAAGACCAGAGACCAAGATAAGACCGACAGATTGACTTAATAACAGAGAAAAACAAGACAGAGGAGAAAAGATCAAGGACTCTGACATACAGAAAGATGAAGCATCATGGAAGACACAGCCGGAGGGAAGTGAACTGAAGAGCTCCAGCGGTCTATGGGCCAGAACACCAGCCAGGGATCAGTAGGAATCGAGAGAAAAGAGCATGTGTCATCAAGGCCTCCTCAGAGTCCAGGCGTCAGCGGCCCACTTTCCGCTGAAGTCTGAGGCGGTACATTAGCTTACGATATGCTAACTCAAACTGGTGCCTTTGAGTTAGACTGCTGATCTAGAAGCAGCTCGGTGGATCAAAATAATTCTCTTAATTTAGACATGAAAAGGAAAGACTCGTTTCTAGGTCAACTTAATGCAGTTTTCCTGCACCAGAGATAAACTAAGTGAAGCTTTGGGCCAGAGGGCCATTTGAGGGTTAAGGAAAAGTGGTTTAATATATCCAGAGGCCTGCCAAGGATGTGCTTGTAGGAAGGACGGTGATTTAAATTCACTCACCTGATCGAGGGCCAGCTTTTTAGAGGGCTGCGCACACACCAGGGGATGTAACCTTGGAGACAGCAAGACAGAAAGAGAGACAGTGAAAAAGACATATAGACAAGATCATTAAGAGAACATGGCTTATTTTTCAAAAGCTGCTTAGGGATTTTTTTTTTTTTATCTGAATCTTAATCAAAATTTGACAGAAACACAAGGTCAAAACTTACGTACTATCCGGTCCTATAAACTCAGTATACCTCAGCTCTGTTCTTTTCAATTCACTACACTGCTTAAATCACTAACTTATTATAATGCAAATCTTGACACATTATTTAAATTAATTCCCTAAATGTACGTAATTTGAATTCTATCAACCCAGAAAAGCAGGAGTTTACGGACCCACAGAGACTCTAAAAACCCCCTGCTTCACAATGAAATGTCACTGTATATTTAGTAAAAATGTATTCACTGTATTCAAAACCAAAATGCATGAATAACAACAACATTTTTGAATCTAGCACATTTTCATAGGTGGTGGTAGACATGGACCAGTCCTGTCTTGAATTACAGTCTACTTCAAATCTCTCACTGTAAAATGCCCAGTGGAATAAATATGGCAGCTCGAGTGACAACAGGAGGGGGAGATCTCGAGAGAGACAGAGAAAGAGGGGGCAGGACAAGCACAGAAGAATCCAGAGACACAGTTAACATCTCAGTACTTGCAAGTCAACGTGCAGTGGCACAGTTTAAATAATGAGTTTACTCATTATTCCAACGAATGTAAAATATGTTAATGAGGTATGGATATGATGCACCAAACACGCAGCATAAATAAACGCTAATCAGAATCATATGATTCTCTTGATAATACATCTGAATATGCAGATGAGATTCAGCACTCATGGGAGCAGTTCTCTTTATATAACCACAAGCCGTCCCGAATCTACTCAAACACACATATTAAACTCAACTCAAACATCTCTCGATAGATAGATAGATCAAATTGGATATAACAATAGAAAGATGGAACAGAAAGAAGGATAGAACGATGGATATAACTACAGAAAGAAGAATAGAAAGATTAAGAGAAGGATAGAAAATTTTATATAATAGAAAGGATTTAGTGAAAAAGACAGAAAGAAGGAAATAAGAAAAGAAAGATGGATAGAATGTTAGAAAGGATAAAAATGGATAGAGTAGGAATAAGGAAAGAAAGGATAGAATGATAGAAAGAAGGGCAGAGTAATAGAAAGGATAGAAAGATGACAATGATAGAAAAAAGATAGAAAAATGATATTTAAAAGATGGATGAAATGATAGAAGGATAGAATGAGAAGGATGGATATAACAAAAGATAGAATGATAACAAAAGATGGATACAATGAAAGGATGAAACAATAGAAAGTAGGATGAAAAGATGGATAGAATTATAGGTAGAACGATAGATCGATAGATAGACTGACAGACAGACTCCTTCAGCTTCTCAGTCAGTAAGACAGGCATGCATGGTTGACAGTCCTTCACAACCCAGCATACGAGTGTCCTATTGATGCTACAGTGCATTCTGGGATGGGCATGGCATGAAAACAAGCAGCCAGAGCCAAAACACAGCGACAACATTCTATTCCTGAGAAACAGTCTACACACACACACAGATTCACATGTGCTGATAAACTGTTCACACCACTGAGTGGGTCAATTATTCAAACACAGAGCACAACAATAATGATTAGGGGTGGGAATCAGGGACCTGCTGATGCAGTATATTGATATCTGGGTCACAATACAATAATATTGTAATTCTTTGTGGCAGTTATTCAAAACTGTGACATATTGTGATCCACTACTCGATTTTCTTTCATCTGAATTAACCCTTGGTGCTTTTCAGAATTATGCTCAACTTTAGGATTTAGTTTGAACAAAACATTGAGTTTCTTCAATAGTTCCAATTTTCTTTTGTCAAAATCAAAAAGATTTGAGTATCACTAAAATACTATGAGACAAAATAATATCAAATATCTCTTTTTTTCCTCTCACCATTAGTAATGATGTGCGCGACCTCATTCAAGAGTCTTTGGTTTGTGCTTGTGATGACTCCATTGCTTTCTCACAGAACATTATAAATCGTTCAACATTTACTTTGACCTTCTGCATCACGCTGACCTCAGTGTATGACTAAATGGCTGATGTCAACAGGGCCATTTATTTTATTGAGCTGAAGGTGTATGACACCAGGCTGACACTATTTCCGCTGAGTGCATGAAAGCATGAGCGAACACTGCCTAAGAAGTAGGTGTCTTCATTTCAGAAGCATGCCTTGGTTCCAGGCAAAGATAAGGGTCTCTCTTTTCCTCAAGGTTGACGAAAACTTCCTCTCATTTTTGGGTCAATTCAGCCTTGAGAAAAACCCAACTTTCTTTGATCTTGCAGACAGCAGACAGCTTACCTCTCCCTCTCTGTCTCTCTCTCTCTCTAGAGATGCAGGTTTTCTGCAAGTAAGCTGATTAAGTAAGAAACTTCGAGCCGACAGCAGAAAGATCCTCAGAGGAAGTGAGACAGAAGCAAGATAAAGAAAGGAAAAAAATGGGAAGAGTGTCTATAACATCTGTCTGAAAGAGCGAGAGGGGAATCTGTTTAATTACCAGATGTGTGATGGTGTGAGATGGCGATTTCTGGCACTCCAGGTGTGAATGTCTAACATGAGATGGTCTCATGTATGGATACAGAGGAAGTGTTGAAAGAACAAAGGAGCGGGGGACTGCAAAAATAAGCGCAATCCATCTCAGGTTCTTACAAAGCCTTACTGCTAACTCTATTGAAAACCTGTTCATTTCAGCAAAAAATTAACACTGTCTTACACAAACACTTGCACTTTTTGTAGTCTCCATGGTTCCGGATAAATGCTGAGCTGTGGGTATTTGAGAGGACAAGAAAATGACCAGAAAATGTGGGAGGAGTGCGAGGGAGAGAGGGTTAAAACAGCAGGGGGTAATTATACAGGCTATTGCTGGATGACCGAGTGAGAGAATGTGAGAGACTTATTAAATTTAAGCTTCAAAAGCACGGAGGGACGAACAGACCAGCAGATGGGTAGATGTTCAGGTAATTGCGAGATGTCAGGAATATGCTGTAAAAATACAAAAGAGAGGCCGAAAAGGGAGGTTGCATGTCTATGTGTGTGTGTTTGTGTATAACAGTACAGTACACAATACCTCAGTGTATCACAGAGGGTGGACTAAATGGAATACAACGGCTTTACTGTCAGCAGAACATCATGCACACACACACACACACACAGTCACACGCTGATATGCACTCATTTTGAGTTTCTGTGATAAATTCAGGTTCAGCTGAAATAGGACTGGGAACCTCTTAAGAGAACCTGAAGAAACAACAACAGTTGAGTTATGGTTGTGCAATATATTTTCAATGACTTTGTTGGCAATACAATAATAAGCAACATTGTGAATATCACAATAAAATATGCTTATTTGGCCATTATGTTTACTAATCATAGTGTCAGAGTTCTGTAAATAATAAAACTTTCCAATTCAGTGAACACTAGTTTAATGATTAGTTTGTCAAAAATGTTCATGAAAGCCTCCGAAATTTACTAAATGTTTTTAAATCCATATGTAAATGTGTGTACTATTTATGTATTGTTACATTGTTGTATAAAATAAAAAAAATATTAAATATGTACACACATTATTTCCAGATGTTTTTCATAACAACATTCAATATATCTTTTATATATAAAATTTTTAATTTTTTTCAGAATTTTTCAAAACAATATTCAATGCATCTTTTATGTGTTAAATATTGTTCAATACCTAAAAACTATTTTCAATTTATTTTCTGTTTAGCCTTTTATTTTTTAGCTATATTGCCCACCCGAAGAATGAGTCTATAAAAAAAAAAAAAAAAGGATGGGTAAAACAAGTCACTGAATAATACAGACACTCTCGTTCGGGTAGACTCCATTCAGTAAACAGACTATAGGCTGTTATGAGTGAGAAAAAGAGAGCGAGCTTGGCATGGTAACAGTGTAATGGCTTTAAAAGGGACGTTTGCTCACCTTTCATTCAGAAAAAAACATAAAACCTACTTTCAGAATGAATGATTCAACAGATCTATCCTGTTCACTTCAAGAATTCATTCAACAAGAAAACACTACACACAGATAAATAATAGCATGAATGGAAATGAGTACACAGTAGTACAACACACATATTTTCCAAAAAGGAGGGTACCAAGGAGTGGGCCGCAGTGGGGCCTCACTTTAAATATGTGCTCTAACCTTTAATGTGTTGCATACCAGCATTTAGAGACCAAATATAGAGCAGAACGGGGTTATTCTGACTGACCATATGCATGGGACTTTCTCTCTCACACACACACACACCCACGGTTAATTTAGCCCAGATTGGGCTATTCTTAAGAGACCTGCCCTGTACTCAAGGGCACAAAAGGGTAAAGGACATAAAAAAGAGAGAGAAACAAACATAAGAACCTTTCACACTTGCAGCCCGACCCACAAAGCTCAAGGGATTTTCCATACCTAACCTTTAATGTGTTGCATACCAGCATTTAGAGACCAAATATAGAGCAGAACGGGGTTATTCTGACTGACCATATGCATGGGACTTTCTCTCTCTCTCACACACACACACACACCCACGGTTAATTTAGCCCAGATTGGGCTATTCTTAAGAGACCTGCCCTGTACTCAAGGGCACAAAAGGGTAAAGGACATAAAAAAGAGAGAGAAACAAACATAAGAACCTTTCACACTTGCAGCCCGACCCACAAAGCTCAAGGGATTTTCCATATGAGGGTCATGAGTGAGCCTAATTAGCTTTTCCAAGAAAACTGATATAATAATAAAAAAAAAAACATCACGCATATGGGAATTTACAGTTTTGATGAGGAATTCAGTACATCTTCATGACTGTGCTGCTACAGAAAGTGTTGTGAAGTGTGGAATCAGATGGTAATACCATGGTACTTGGATATGTACTGTGGTCCTGAATAATTCAACTGTTCATACACCACAGTTTTATCATGGTACTCCAAGGTACTTTAACGGAGGGCCACATTATAAATCTCATAAGCAAAATTATATTTTTGAGGACCAAAAACCAGGGTAATGCCATGATATTATTCGTAAGATGCTATATTAGCTGCAGAGACCAGCATTAACAAGACCATAACTAGTATAACCACAAAAACATGTGATCTGAATGACATGTGTGACTAACGCAGCATGGAAAACGTCAAAGCAGAAAGCATTACAGCATAATAGGCTAATTTTATTAGACTGCTTGCTGTTACTAAGCTGAAGTAAACCTTGAATCTTTCTTTAACAAAACTATTATTTCAATGATTTATGAAATGAAGACAGACTCTGTATTGCAGATGCACCTTGTTTAAACATTGTAAAATGGTAAAACAAAAAATAGTTTTAATTTGAAAAGATATAAAGATAGAATAAGTACAGTTACAGTCTTGCACCCTGTCATTGTGTATCCGTAGGTCTATAGTTAGCATAGAGAAGAAAAAGAGCTGAGTTGGTACAGGAAAGAGCCCAAAAATAGGTGTGGGCAAACAAATAAAAATCAGGGCATATCAATAGGAGTGGATCTGTTTTTAGACTGTCCACATCAACACTCTAAGACACAGGATTACTAGAAGAGAGAACAAACATTCACAATGTTTTTTTATTTTGTATTAAAATAAACCACTTTTTGTGAACACAAAATTTCCCCATACTATGTAATCTGTCTGTCTCATAAGGTTACGTAATGCAACACTATCACAGCCAATCAGAAGATATTTGATGTTTAATTTACAGCTATGCAGAGTGTGTTTTTGGACCAATAAGATTTTCTGTGGGAGGGGCAACCCGGGTTGACACGAAAAAGTAATAGAAACCAAATCAAACAACAAAATGTCTAGTCACTCACTGCAGTTGCGGCTGGTTAGGATAAAAAAAAAACTTTTATATGGAAGAGATTTTTTCACATCATTCTTGGACAGGATGTGGGGTGATGGTGAGATTTTTCTAGGACAGATGGCAAGTTATGTAGTATAAAGGATTTTTTAGAACAGAATGTGTAATTAAAGGTGTGTGGGGGGGAAAAAAATCCAAAAAAGCAGGGAGTGAGAGAAAAACAGAAATAAACCAAGACAGAAGAAACCTTTCTCGTACAGTTCCATACCTCTTGCCAAAGCTGCTGATAGTTTTGCCAATCATGGGTGAAGTCAGTTGGGGTTTCCGTTGGGGGGCCACGGGGGTTCTTTTGGCTCCGGCGGAAACTTCTTCAGTCTGTTGAGTGGGACTTTTTGGGCTGAATTTGTTCAAGTCTTTCAGAACATCGTAGTTTATTTTAGTGGAGATGCGTTTCTGCTCCAACATCTTTTCAATGGCTTCGTCTGCAGTGCTGGCATTGATGGGCTCACGCCTCCGTGCCTTCTTTTTAGGCTTTAAGATGACACAAAAATAAGAAAGTAAACACATACACATTTGTGACCCTGACAACTGCACCTGCATTTATGATGTGCCTTGTTACCTTCCGCTCTTTATATGTACCCTCCTCCTTTTCCTTTGCTATTCTTTCCTCCTTTTCTGAAGGAAAAAAAACACTTAGCTTTAACAAAAGTGTTCCAAACTTGATTTAAATGAACCTGTCAAGGGTAAAATGAAGAAATGGGACATTTCAATCTCTTCCACCTTTCTGTTCTTTGAGGTAGTCTGCATTTTGAAGCATCCACAGTTCAGTCTTCACCTTAACTTCCTTCTCATTAAGGATATACTAAGAGAAAAAAAAAAAAGAGAAATACAATATATAATCCCTCACGTCATGGTGGACGAGCTGAAGAGAGTAAATTGCAACATATCTCATTCCACTCTATTCTAATGTAATCCCATTATTCATTTTTGGATATGAATCTCATCCCAGCTTTCAACTTTATAGAACCACAATGATGCTGATTCTCTCAATGGACAAGACTTCAAACATGAGCTTATGTAACTCTCTATTTGCTTTCAAAGCAAATTATCATGTCGTTACCATAATGAGGTCAAAACTCACCCGATCGATCTCGTCCTCGTCGATACCGCTCAGGTCTAACTCACCGTTTTCTGCCTCCACATCTGATGGAGAAAAACAAAAACTGTTCCTAAATATTTAAGATTTTATTTGTAGATATAAGAACATTACAAGACTGAATACATTTGTGCACAGATACTTCCCGGTTTAATTATCATACGATCATATTATAATTTATTTTAAAAATCTAAATAAAAAAAGCATAAAATCTCATTCACTGCTTTGGCAAAAGAAAAAGCATCTCGCCTTGTGTTTTCTCCACATATTCAAAGTTTCACATTCCTAAGGAGGAACACATGCTGATTATGTGTAATGAAAGCTTCAGCATTTATATTTATGCTGCCATTCAAAAACCATTTCTCTGAGCTAGTTGTTCAATTAGGTTAGTGGATATATACAGAAAATCCCACTGCAGTCTAACCTTAAAACCTTCACATAAAATGTCCTTCAGCAAAATCACATGGCAAAATAAACTCAAATACATGTGTGTTTCTCTGTGGATTCTGCCCTGTAGCAAATCTTACTGGAAAGTCCACTGGGGCTGCTGGGATCATTATAACAGTGGCTCTACAGTAGCAACTTCCAGGATTATTCTCCCTCTGCCTTCCGTCTTTTTCCTCTTTTCTAGGTCCAGTTCCTCCCTTCCCCCAAATTTACTCTTTTCTTTCTGCCTGGAGATTGTTGGCAACGCTTCAGAAGTTCACTTTATAGAGCATCCCTCTCTCTCTCTCGTGTCTGTTGTATTGGGGAAGGGGTTAGAGGGGGAAAAGCACAGAAAGAGAGGGAAATTCTGTTTTTCTCGCTTCTGAACGGGGGGCGCTCAATGCCAGTAGATCCCGTGAGCCAAGAAACCTGACCTCCTCTCGTTGATTACATCTGAACATGCAGAGACAAAACACATTTAAACCAACACACACACACACACACTGAGTCCCTCCAATACCGCACATTAAAACACACTGTGCCATGAGTCACATGTGTGTGATGTGGTGAGAACGTGAATAGCAGAGATTAGTTACAACAGGCAAAATAAAACCACACCAGAGAGAGACTACCAGGTGCAGCTGGATTCAAGAAAAGAGTAGCTGAATAAAGAGAAGCAAAACTGTAATAAAACCAGCAGTGCAGTCTCGGTCTTTCCCATTAGGCCTAACTTTGTGTTCATGTTCAAATGTTGTTGTTGTTTTTTTTGTACCGTCTGTTTTCATTTACTTGGGACATAACCAACTGTGTGCAGCTTGCCAGGAAAGGCATTAACTAAAAATAGCATTTAAAGCGTTCACATGCGCAGCTGCACTACCTGAAGACATATGCATATGCATGAGTGTTCGACAGCAGCTGCATGTCAGTCAGACAGCACTTAGGGACCTTATACTGTTAAATATACCTGTAGAAAAAACTGGTAGTGTTACTTTTTGTTCAGTATCAAATTGGTAATGAGTACTGCCACTTAAAGGGCAAGGTTTTTTTTTTGCTTGCAATTACAATTAATGGGGACTGAAGAATTAAAAAAGGATGCAAAAACACCATAAATGTAGGCTATACAACTCACGCACTATATTTCAAGTCTTCAAGTAGCATAATAATAATAATAGTAATATGATGCTGAATCTCAATAGGCATGAAACAGAAATTGTGATTGTCTTTTCTTAATTATTGTAATACATATCTGAGTGAAATGATCAAGTTTTTAAAGCTTTTTTCAGCAACTGTTCACTGCAACAACAAAAAAAGGTATGAATATATTCTTCCAAATTTATAATTTTGTGTTGCGCAAAATAAATTTAAGTCACACGGTGAGTTAACGATAACAATTTTCATTTCTGAGTGAACTGTCCCTTTAACCTCACCTGAAAATCACAGAGGCAAAAAAACCCTGAGAAGCAGAAAAAAGGAGCCAAGTTCAACAAAATTACAGAAGAGAGAAACAACAAATGACAGACTCCATCTAACACTAATCATTCTCCCTCTTCATCTATTCCCCTGTTCTTCCAATCTAAAAAATGTCTCCGTCCTGAGGCTAAATTTCTGAATGGTGTTGTCCACCTAGACATTAGCGTTTCCACGCGCGTTCAGAAAGAGTTCAAAGGCCCCCCCCTCATCTCCAGAGGTTTCACTGACACCAACACCTGTTCAGCGTCAAGCACGGTGTCTGACTAAAGACATACTTATATTTCCAGATATCACCAGACAGACACCTCTTTCTTTCTCTCCCTGGACAATTCTCACTCTTCAGCACATGCAGAAGCTCACCAAACGTAATCATCTGATGTCGTCACTCAAACTGACTGGCAGGTCAAAAGAACAAGCACTGAAGCCCAGTGAAAGGAAAAGACGGACAATGGAGATGCAGAGATAAGGAAAGAGAGAGGTAGGGCGGGTTTCTTCTGGAGGTGAAGAGGGCAGACAGGCCCATTAAAAACTGACCCCTTCTTACCCCTGTGACTTCCCCAGGGAAACCCCTCGCCCACTCACACACCTGCTACAACAGTCTATATATTGCCCATAGTCTGGAAAGAGAGAACGAGAGAGAGAAAATGTCAAGAGAAAATATGTGCATGTGCTTTTTTCACACTCTACTGTATATACACAGAGCAAAAATGGGGTAGGGTTAGACAAATTTTCATACAATAACATGAAAATGTAAAAGTAACAGCAGAAAGGAGAAGAGAGAAAAAGATTTGAACAGACTTTATTCATGAGATTTCCCATTCTCACACATTCGGATGCCCTACAGGTGTTAAATCTAGACAGCAAAAGAGCCTCGCGGGGGTCCGCACACAGATTTTTCTGTCAGTGCATGTTAACGGAACAGTGAACTTGTCTATCTCAAGGATCGGGCCTCCCACAGTCATTCGTTTTTTTCCTCTCCACACGTCTGTCAGTCAGTCACTCTTTTATTATGTCATATTTCACACTGATAGCAGGGCCCCTGTCGGATGACATCACATCACTGTCAGTGCTTCACTGTGTATTTTATTAGGAGAAAACAAAGCAATAAATGAGTGACAAGGATTAAAATGATAAAAGACAATAAATCATACAGCAGGAAAAATAAGGAAACATTATAAACATAAATGTAAACATTATAAATCTTAAATGTGTCATGTTGAAAACGTCACTAAAACTAGCACAATGTTGCTATGACAACAGTTTCACAGCTTTAAAAAAGTTTTTTTTTTTAATTAAACTAGTTTAAAGTCAAAACTATGGTTTGGTGATATATTTAATATTATACATTAATGTAGATATTGCTGGAGATTCATGTAGATTTTGATGTTGAAGTCAAATGAAGTTACACTGTGAATATTGCACAGATTTTAATGTGCTTTTTATGAGAGAATTATATGTACAGTACCACTCACAAATAAATTCTTATTATCAATGTTCCAACAGTTGTCCTGCTTAATATTTTTGTGGAAACCATTTACATAATACAAAATACATTTTTCTTAGGAATCTTTGATGAACAGGAACTTTAAAATTGAATTTAATAGAAATTTCTGACATTTTTGATCAAAAATGTCCTTGCTGAATAAGAGTATAAAAAAAGAAACTATATATATATATATATATATATATATAGATAGATATATAGATAGATAATGATAGATAGATAGATAGATAGATAGATAGATATAGATACACACACACACACCTTAGTACATGTTAACATAAATATCGATATCATCAAAAGGGAGAAAAAGAGACCTAGTATTAACGCAAAGACCTACAAATGGACACAGCACCTCATAACCATGTGATCTGTGACATTATTCTAAACACTGTGTTCATGAACATAGTTATAGAGACTAACAAAGGCACATCTGTGTGCATTATAAAGGCCTTATGAATGTAAATTACCATCACTTTTGGCCCATCTGTCCTTTACAAACCCCCAACAGCTGTCCATAGGATGTGTTCAAAGCAAACAAGAAGAATAAATGTCACTCACACACTTAGTCTGTCTTTCATTCTCCTTTGAAAGGCACCTCTCCCTCCCCTCCTCTCATCTATCTATCTCCTCCCACTTTATCCCTCTTTCCTAGTGTAAATGAACAAGTCTTTTCTCTCCTCCTGCTCTGAAGATCCAAAGAGATTCTGACAGATGAGAAGAGAAGGGCACGATCCATCCACTTTTTTATGTTACAGGCAAACAGTGAACAGTAACATTATGCAAAGGGAATAGAAATTAGACAGAAATAAATTTAATAGACTGACTGATCAATAAAAAAAAGAGAAAAAACAAACATAGAAGCACATTAAAATTAGGGATTCTGGCATCTCCTACTGTGTGGTCAGCAAGGGGGCCAGGGAGGACAGTGAGTGACCATCTGGAGACTGACACTCACTGCGGCATTGTTAAGATCGCAGGTCCTCCACCCCCTCAGAGAATTACACTGCTTACACAGCAGCACCGGATTTCTCTCTCTCTCTACACACACACACACACACACACACACACACACACACACACACAAAAGGGAAACCCTTCTGACATTCTCACAGAAGAGAACTGACCTTAGGAAAACTGAAAAAAGAAAAGGTACAAAAAAGAAAGGCAGGATGAGGAGAGGATTGAGACCTTCAAAACACCAGTATACAACTTGCTCTCTCTCACACAATTTCAGTATCCTTTATTGGCATGGCAAAAACTGTATGTTTATATTGCCAACATATTTCAAGCATAGCGAAATTGTGAGAAAGTTAAAGTATTCAACATAATTAGTATATGTAAATGACTCCTTGGTCACTCTTAGCTAACATGCTAAAGCTAGCAGCACCACCAAATGAGAAACACATTGATATGCAGTGTAAAGGGAAGTATAGTAAATCATTTAAAACAGCTTCTGAGGAAATTAATTAACAGTGTTGAGTAACGTAGACCGTAGGAATTAATTAAAATAAAATGGAATAATCTAAATATGTAATATTAAAGTGCCCCAAATATGCCATTTTGAATATTGCCTTTCATGCATTGTGTAATGTAGCTGTATGTGAATGTAAAAAATCTGCAAAGTTGTAAAGCTGAAAGTGCACGATAAATAAAGTTACTGTCTCCCAAAAGAAAAAATAGACTCTGAACAGCCTAAATGAGTCACCAGTAATTCGAATCCCACTTCCGTGATGGCTATACGTCAAGGGCTAACACATTTGCATAATGTCTGCCTTTGTTCTATGCTGGCCGGCCGCGAGCAACTTGTAGCATGCTCATGTTGAGAAGACGCTGTGTCCTACGCTGTGAAACTGCTATGGTACAGTGGAAAAAATTAATTTTAACCACTGATACTTTGCAGCCTAATCTTTCGGAAGTGAAAATAAAACAAATTCACCTTCACTGTGAAAGTAAATTTGTTTTATTTTCACTTCCGAAAGATTAGGCTGAAAAATATCAGTGGTTAAAATTATTTTTTTCCACTGTACCATAGCAGTGCAACCCCAATCTTTTTTTATGTTCCTGTCATTTTACTGAAGACTGCTTCTCTAATCTAATAATTCAACGCGGGATTCACAAAACACTCGCTCTTGAAAGACGGCTTAGTACCCAATTTATTTGGACCAGCTCGCTCCACTGAATCACAACCTGTAAGTATGATAAACAACAGATGTTTATATTTTTTTATTTAGCATTCAAAATACAGAACTGGCAATGGGCGTATTGTTTCCGACACGTGCTGTAAGTGGTAGACCAATCACAACAGACTGGGCCATCTGACCAATCAGAGCAGAGTAGGCTCACGGAAAGTGAATCTTAGAACTGCTTTGAACGAATTGTTTGAGAATCATTGGGAAAATGAGTTTATAACTAAATGCATATTTTGAGAAAACCAAAGCATTTTTTTACCTTGAATGCATGTAAACCTACAGTATTGTAGGAGACTCCCAAAGCAATATTAGGAACCTTAAAAATGACATAATAGGGCCACTTTAATTAAACAAGTTACTGTAATAGTTCACCCAAAAATTATAATTCTGTGATCATTTATTCACCTCATGCACAAACCTGCATGACTGACTTTCTTGTGTAGAAATGTCTCAGTGTTTTTCATCCACACAATGGAAATCAATGGTCACCAAAAGTATTTGGTTATCAACACAAAAAATACCTTATTTTGTGTGGTGGAGAAGAAAAAAAATCAAACAGGTTTGGAATGACATTAGTTAGTAAATGATGACAATTTTCATTTTTGAGTGAACTATCCCTTTAAGGTACATTATGAAGAACAAGACCAATGGTGCCAATAATGGTGATAATGAAGTTCTCTCTCTCTCTCTCTGATGCAACATACACTCTCACATCACACAAACATTTTTGCATTTTTAAATAAGAACATCCAGCTTCCGATTATTCTCACACTGAAGAACTAGAACACTCTAACAAGCATCATATTGTCTGGAATGGAACAATGAGCCTACCTAAAAATAAACAAAGAAAATAGACAGACAGAAAAAGCTGAAGCAGACAGAACCAAGACAGAAGTGCACACACACAGAGCCATATATTGTCAGTGCCCATATAAAATCACTGAGATTAAATGAGAAAATTGAGGGAAATAAATGACATATTGCTGCAGATCTACGAGGCATTCAGTTGAGTTTACATAGACACTGGTCAAAACAAAAACACTAAAAATACCTCCTCTCTGAGTCATGATTTTTCCTGAACCCCACTCAAAAACCAAACCCAAATATACACACACACAGTGTTCAAGCGGGTCTCGCGGGCAATCAACTCGCACACAGACACCCGTAGTGGGTGGATGAAAGACAGTGCACTAATGGCAAGGTGCTGTGTTTAATTAGTGCTTCAAAGAGTGGAGGGGGGCTTCCTCTTCCTCCGCCCCATACAAATCATCCACAATCACCACAACCAATCGAAAACATGACAACCTGCTCGCACAGCCCATCACACAATCTGACAACCTGCCAGCACTCTATCCCCAGGAGTTTACCAGCTGCAGCTCTTCAGCCTGTGATCAACAAAGTCTTATTCTCTCGCTCAAATGCTCTCACATAGTGTAAACGCAACAACCACAAAAGATAATGCAATGATTTCAGATAAATAAGTAATTCTTGAGTTCTGTTATCCAGAGGAAGGGTAACTCTCGCTATAGTGTAGATGTGGTATAGATTGAATTTTTAGAAAAGAAGTCACTCCAGTTTCACTCCTCTTCCTCTATTTATGTCATAACAGTACAATTGTGTGAAGGAGGGGTGAATCTAGAACGAAAATGGATTAATGTGAATGTTTAGAAGAGAAGTCACTCCAGTTACATTCCACATCATCTATTTATGGTATAACAGCACAAATGTGGGAATGAAAGCTGAATTTGGAATTTAAGTAATGTGAGTTTAGAATATGAGTCCAGATACACACTTCTTCTACATGTCATAATCAGTGTTGGGGGTAACGCATTACAAGTAACGCGAGTTACACAATCAGATTACTTTTTTCAAGTAACTAGTAAAGTAACGCATTACTTTTTTAATTTACAAGAGAATATCTGAGTTACTTTTTCAAATAAGGCAAGTTACTTTTTTTCCAATTTATTGATTGACAACTCTCCTGTCCCCATGTTGAGAGAAATCAGAAGATGTTATTATAGTTCTAAAATAAATATGAATATACATTAATTCATCTCACTCACAAAAAACTAAAAACTAAAACACAGATTCAGTATTCCTCAAAATGAATAAAAATAATGTAACTCATAATATGATGCAAACCTGCAATAATTAAATGTTAAACAACACAAATATACTTTATGTACTTAATTCCATTCTATTAACCAATGTCTTTGCTTCTGACCTTCGATGATCCTGTTCAACCATACTAACAAGCAAAAATTACTCTAGACAAACATTTGTGTGTCTTTTTTTATTGCTGAAGTGTGTTGAAATTTCTTCTTACTGCATTCTACTGTACGGACGAAAATTTACTTTCCCTTCAGCCTGAGGCGTATTCCTTTCACTTTTGGTGTGAAAAGGCTTTTATATTTGCCAAAAATATAACTTTTTTTATTTTAAAAACAAACAAGCAAGCCCTGTCCAGATTTAAAAAGTAACGCAAAAGTAATGTAATGCATTACTTTTCATAAAAAGTAACTAAGTAACGTAATTAGTTACTTTTTTTATGGAATAACGCAATATTGTAATGCATTACTTTTAAAAGTAACTTTCCCCAACACTGGTCATAATAGCGCAGATGTGTGACTTAAAGGGTTAGTTTAAGTTAATTACTCACCCTCATGTCGTTTCAAACCAGTAAGAACTTCATTCATCTTCAGAACACAAATTAAGATATTTTTGATGGAATCTGAGAGCTGTCTGACCCTCCCATAGACAGCAATACAACTGAAATGTTCCCAAGTCCAGAAACGTAGCAAGGAGAGCAGTAAAATAATCCATGTGACATCAGGGGTTCAACCGTAATTTTACGAAGCTACGAGAATACTTTTTGTGCACAAAAAAAAAAAAAAAAAAAAAGGACATTTT